TCACTTGATCCCATGACACTGGAATTGATGCTTCCCCCGGTGCAATGCACTCGTCACCAACAGTCGGCACGGTCAATACGGGTGTTGCTGTGAAGCAAAATTAAATACAATCGCCACTTATTATTCCTACAACATAATTACATTCCAAATCATCAAATCACTCTATTGATCAAATGATATATTCAGTAATACTTTAGGCACGTCAATTGGAAAAAGATTTCTTTTGAAAGTGAAATTCACTGTGTTCCAAAACATTACAGGATGATGTTATATTAAGTGATTAATTTGATATTAAGGGCTTCTTGTCTGAAATTTTAAGCCCCGTCCAAATAAATATAAAAAAAGTAACAAGTTCAAGTACACTAGACTGCTCCATACGGATGTTAACATTCATGAACATATTTTGTGACTAATTTCAATCAATGTTTCACCAGCCAAATAGAAACAATTGGAAGATTTGCATGGTAAATTGGGCGATGAAACAGGTACATTAAAGTGTAACACCTAGTCTCAAAAGATCCATCTTTTATCAACATGCTGGCCTCTAAACAATGCAAAGAACTTTCGAAAACAAATCGGGTTGACTTCAATCATATTTCAAAGGGTGTCAATTACAAATCAAATCTTACCGATTACATCGAAGGTGAAGTATGCTGATGCTGTGCAGCCACCATCATTGGTCACAGTGCAGGTTACATTATGAGAGCCTACTGGAAAGTCTCCTCCTGTGACTGTTACACTGGTTCCCCCTGCATCATCCGTACACGTTATTGCTTGACCATCTGAGTTGGTTGCGCTCACTTGATCCCATGACACTGGAATTGATGCTTCCCCCGGTGCAATGCACTCGTCACCAACAGTCGGCACGGTCAATACGGGTGTTGCTGTGAAGCAAAATTAAATACAATCGCCACTTATTATTCCTACAACATAATTACATTCCAAATCATCAAATCACTCTATTGATCAAATGATATATTCAGTAATACTTTAGGCACGTCAATTGGAAAAAGATTTCTTTTGAAAGTGAAATTCACTGTGTTCCAAAACATTACAGGATGATGTTATATTAAGTAATTTATTTGATATTAAGGGCTTCTTGTCTAAAATTTTAAGCCCTGTCCAAATAAATATAAAAAAAGTAACAAGTTCAAGTACACTAGACTGCTCCATACGGATGTTAACATTCATGAACATATTTTGTGACTAATTTCAATCAATGTTTCACCAGCCAAATTGAAAAAAATTGGAAGATTTGCATGGTAAATTGGGCGATGAAGCAGGTACATTTAAGTGTAACACCTAGTCTCAAAAGATCCATCTTTTATCAAAATACTGGCCTCTAAACAATGCAAAGAACTTTTGAAAAAAAATCGGGTTGACTTCAATCATATTTCAAAGGGTGTCAATTACAAATCAAATCTTACCGATTACATCGAAGGTGAAGTATGCTGATGCCGTGCAACCACCATTATTGGTCACAGTGCAGGTTACATTATGAGAGCCTACTGGAAAGTCTCCGCCTGTGACTGTTACACTGGTTCCCCCTGCATCATCAGTACAAGTTATTGCTTGACCATCTGAGTTGGTTGCGCTCACTTGATCCCATGACACTGGAATTGATGCTTCCCCCGGTGCAATGCACTCGTCACCAACAGTCGGCACGGTCAATACGGGTGTTGCTGTGAAGCAAAATTAAATACAATCGCCACTTATTATTCCTACAACATAATTACATTCCAAATCATCAAATCACTCTATTGATCAAATGATATATTCAGTAATACTTTAGGCACGTCAATTGGAAAAAGATTTCTTTTGAAAGTGAAATTCACTGTGTTCCAAAACATTACAGGATGATGTTATATTAAGTAATTTATTTGATATTAAGGGCTTCTTGTCTAAAATTTTAAGCCCCGTCCAAATAAATATAAAAAAGTAACAAGTTCAAGTACACTAGACTGCTCCATACGGATGTTAACATTCATGAACATATTTTGTGACTAATTTCAATCAATGTTTCACCAGCCAAATAGAAAAAATTGGAAGATTTGCATGGTAAATTGGGCGATGAAACAGGTACATTAAAGTGTAACACCTAGTCTCAAAAGATTCATCTTTTATCAACATGCTGGCCTCTAAACAATGCAAAGAACTTTCGAAAACAAATCGGGAAACTTCAATCATATTTCAAAGGGTGTCAATTACAAATCAAATCTTACCGATTACATCGAAGGTGAAGTATGCTGATGCTGTGCAACCACCATCATTGGTCACAGTGCAGGTTACATTATGAGAGCCTACTGGAAAGTCTCCTCCTGTGACTGTTACACTGGTTCCCCCTGCATCATCCGTACAAGTTATTGCTTGACCATCTGAGTTGGTTGCGCTCACTTGATCCCATGACACAGGAATTGATGCTTCCCCCGGTGCAATGCACTCGTCACCAACAGTCGGCACGGTCAATACGGGTGTTGCTGTGAAGCAAAATTAAATACAATCGCCACTTATTATTCCTACAACATAATTACATTCCAAATCATCAAATCACTCTATTGATTAAATGATATATTCAGTAATACTTTAGGCACGTCAATTGGAAAAATATTTCTTTTGAAAGTGAAATTCACTGTGTTCCAAAACATTACAGGATGATGTTATATTAAGTAATTTATTTGATATTAAGGGCTTCTTGTCTAAAATTTTAAGCCCCGTCCAAATAAATATAAAAAAAGTAACAAGTTCAAGTACACTAGACTGCTCCATACGGATGTTCACATTCATGAACATATTTTGTGACTAATTTCAATCAATGTTTCACCAGCCAAATTGAAAAAAATTGGAAGATTTGCATGGTAAATTGGGCGATGAAGCAGGTACATTTAAGTGTAACACCTAGTCTCAAAAGATCCATCTTTTATCAAAATACTGGCCTCTAAACAATGCAAAGAACTTTTGAAAAAAAATCGGGTTGACTTCAATCATATTTCAAAGGGTGTCAATTACAAATCAAATCTTACCGATTACATCGAAGGTGAAGTATGCTGATGCCGTGCAACCACCATTATTGGTCACAGTGCAGGTTACATTATGAGAGCCTACTGGAAAGTCTCCTCCTGTGACTGTTACACTGGTTCCCCCTGCATCATCTGTACACGTTATTGCTTGACCATCTGAGTTGGTTGCGCTCACTTGATCCCATGACACAGGAATTGATGCTTCCCCCGGTGCAATGCACTCGTCACCAACAGTCGGCACGGTCAATACGGGTGTTGCTGTGAAGCAAAATTAAATACAATCGCCACTTATTATTCCTACAACATAATTACATTCCAAATCATCAAATCACTCTATTGATCAAATGATATATTCAGTAATACTTTAGGCACGTCAATTGGAAAAAGATTTCTTTTGAAAGTGAAATTCACTGTGTTCCAAAACATTACAGGATGATGTTATATTAAGTAATTTATTTGATATTAAGGGCTTCTTGTCTAAAATTTTAAGCCCCGTCCAAAAAATATAAAAAAAGTAACAAGTTCAAGTACACTAGACTGCTCCATACGGATGTTAACATTCATGAACATATTTTGTGACTAATTTCAATCAATGTTTCACCAGCCAAATAGAAACAATTGGAAGATTTGCATGGTAAATTGGGCGATGAAACAGGTACATTAAAGTGTAACACCTAGTCTCAAAAGATCCATCTTTTATCAACATGCTGGCCTCTAAACAATGCAAAGAACTTTCGAAAACAAATCGGGTTGACTTCAATCATATTCAAAGGGTGTCAATTACAAATCAAATCTTACCGATTACATCGAAGGTGAAGTATGCTGATGCCGTGCAACCACCATCATGGGTCACAGTGCAGGTTACATTATGAGAGCCTACTGGAAAGTCTCCTCCTGTGACTGTTACACTGGTTCCCCCTGCATCATCCGTACACGTTATTGCTTGACCATCTGAGTTGGTTGCGCTCACTTGATCCCATGACACAGGAATTGATGCTTCCCCCGGTGCAATGCACTCGTCACCAACAGTCGGCACGGTCAATACGGGTGTTGCTGTGAAGCAAAATTAAATACAATCGCCACTTATTATTCCTACAACATAATTACATTCCAAATCATCAACTCACTCTATTGATCAAATGATATATTCAGTAATACTTTAGGCACGTCAATTGGAAAAAGATTTCTTTTGAAAGTGAAATTCACTGTGTTCCAAAACATTACAGGATGATGTTATATTAAGTAATTTATTTGATATTAAGGGCTTCTTGTCTAAAATTTTAAGCCCCGTCCAAATAAATATAAAAAAAGTAACAAGTTCAAGTACACTAGACTGCTCCATACGGATGTTAACATTCATGAACATATTTTGTGACTAATTTCAATCAATGTTTCACCAGCCAAATTGAAAAAAAATTGGAAGATTTGCATGGTAAATTGGGCGATGAAGCAGGTACATTTAAGTGTAACACCTAGTCTCAAAAGATCCATCTTTTATCAAAATACTGGCCTCTAAACAATGCAAAGAACTTTTGAAAAAAAATCGGGTTGACTTCAATCATCCCAGTGGGCACATGACGTTGTTTCAACGTTGAATGTTGGTTGAAATGACGTCACGACGTCGAAATACCGTAAAACAACGTTATTTCAACGTCACTTTTGCGACGTTGATTTTATGTTTCAGTTTGACGTTGTTTCAACGTCGAATAAATGTTGAAATTGCGTCGCGATATTATCAACCTAAATTCAATGTCTATCCAACGTCGGTTTTGTAACGTTGTTCCAACGTCCATATTTCGACATTAATCCAACATTGAATGTTGGTTGAAATTGCGTCGCGATATTATCAACCTAAATTCAATGTCTAGCCAACGTCGGTTTTGTAACGTTGTTTCAACGTCCATATTTCGACATTAATCCAACGTTAAATGTTGGTTGAAATTGCGTCGCGATATTATTAACCAAAACTCAATGTCTATTCAACGTCGGTTTGGTGACGTTGTTCCAACGTACATATTTCGACATTAATCTAACGTTGGATAAATGTTAAAATTGCGTCGCGATATTAACAACCTAAAATTAACGTCTCTCTGACGTCGGTTTGGTAACGTTGTTCCAACGTACAGATTTCGACATTAATCTGACGTCGAATAAAAGTTTAAATTGCGTCACGATATTGACAACCGAAATTCCATGTCTATTCAACGTCAGTTTGGTAACGTTGTTCCAACGTACAGATTTCAACATTAATCTGACGTTGAATATGCGTTTAAATTGCGTCACGATATTAACAATGTTAAATTCAATGTCTATCAATCGTCAGTTTTGTAATTGTTCCAACGTATTTTGACATTATTCTGATGTTGGATAAATGCTTAAAATTGCGTCGTGATAACGACCTAAATGTACCAACGTCGGTTTGGTAAACTTTGTTTAACATACGGATTTTAATTAGTCCAAAGTTGAAAAAATGTCGAAATTAAGTGCGTCGCAATCAAACATATTGCATTGCTTTGAAATTGAGTATCCTCGCGGTTACTTCAACGTCAGTCCTGCTGTATCAATTAACGTATAATTTTAACTATCAAAGTGCAAAATATTATGTCAAGAAATATAAACAAAATAGCCGACTTAATTGAACTTTGTGGCCTTTTTTATGAAAACATATTATTTGTCAGCACGCCAAAGCTGTGACGCTAGCCAATCACACGGCGCGTAATTTGTTCTACATTCCAAGGTTGTGACGCTGGCCAATCAGTTTTCATGTACTCTCTTTGAATCACGATATGGCGCGCAAGCATATGACCGTTACATATTTCGACATCATACTGCAGTTGTGTGGACGTGTAGCGTGCAGCCGACATCATTTTACTCAAATAACAGGTAAGAATTTTGCCATCAAAATTCGTCGTTATTGTTATGATGTTGCTTAGACATACCTGACGTTTATTCGAAGCACTTACTTATTAATTGCAACCAATTTCTCCCCAAAACGATAAACAAATATTGACACATCACTGGGGTCGGGGACACTGGCATGCATGGTCACTGATGATACCGGCGTCCGGTACGTATGGGAACCAGGTCGACCGCATGCATCCCGGCACTCGGAACAGTGTATTGCTGAGCTGTACTTAAACGGGTTCAATGGGAAAGTAGTGAGAGAAATCCTGAGAAATAATCCTCCATTGGCGTTTTGAACTGTACAGTATAATGGACGTGTGACTTAAACTTTCCAAAACGATATTGTTACCATGAATAAATGTGGCTCAATTACTGGATTTCCTTTGTATTGAAAAGTTGTTTCTGAGGAAATAGAAATTGCATTTTTTTTCACTTGGTAGACCTTATGGACATGAAATGCATGATGATGAAATGTACTTAAGCCTACCTGGTTAAAAAAAATAATAACCAGGAAAAATATAATTCGATTTTCTGCACTGTAGAGTTTCAGTTTTCATGTAATTTTCAGGCTAAAAAGTAAAAATGGATCGTCCAAAAGTGATTGTAGAATGGAATGCAGTATATTTTCTCGAGGTCAATTACTGCCATACTGGATTTCTTCGTACAGCTACACAGCGGTGATAGGTCGTGGGTCATGTACATTATACCGTTTTACTTCCCCTGATTATTAAACCAGGTGGGTTATCTTCCATAGGGAATAGGCCTATCAATTCGGGGATAAACACTCCCAATTTCGATTTCACATGTTGCTATCACCACCCCGGTGCTCTTGTACATGTACAAGTCACAAAACGGAGGAAGTTGCTGGGTAGTTCACAATAGTGAGAATGCATAACACACATTTCTGTATCAAAACTTTAGGTAAATGCAAGCATGGATAATTATACCGCTGTTTGTAGCCTGTGCTGTGAATGGTGCAATAACAAAATGGACTCACGGTGCAGGGAGTGAGTAATTACGTAAATGTATTGGCCTAAGTAATCAATCATTGCATAGGCAGGTGGTATTTCTACATAAACTTGTTTTTGTTTTGTGTAGATACTAGACATGGTTTGCATATTTTTTGGGGAGTATGCAGAGTCTAAGTTTGGCAGGTAGGACAGGTAGGGTAGTTAATCTCACTTTTTCAGCTTCTGAAGAAAAAAATCCTTTTCAAAATTCCAGAAGAGTTTACAAGACCTCACAGATGACGAAACCCCACTCAGCAATGATTCATACAGGAATTGAGGAGGAGCCAAAGTCAGCATGGATTGTCGAACCAGTATGGAGGAGTTATGTATGACTTTCGAAGATGCTTCAGTTTGAAATCTTTCGGACAGTACTCGCAGTGCCGTAGCTGGTATGTATATGCCGACAAAAAAAAAAAATTCAGGGCTAAGTTTTATTGGAAAAACCGATTATTTTATTCTTAAGTCAATAACACTTGCAGAGATGTAGCTCTGATTGCAGTCATCGCACATAAAAAAAGTGGTATTCAAATCCATTTATACCTGTGCGAACAACAGACACAATGGCCAGTTCATTCAAAACGTTAACAAAACGCAAAAATGAAAACAGATTTGTGGCTATATCTTAATTGAGTGTTGGCAGAAGTTTCGTCACAGTGCATTGTATAATAACTTGTGTTTGTTTACACTCTTCCGTTATCTTTTTTCCTGATGGGTCTTTGCTTTTGTCTCTGAGCGTTTTTTTTTTTCTCATCCAACAGGTGCATGACCAAGTGATTGAAGACAGTTCAACAATGATGGGCAGAGTGGAACTGAAACTGAAAAAAAGCAGATGAGGAGACGGACCTTTTCAGTTTCGCAGGTAATTTAATTTTCTTCGCCAGATTTAATTTATTTTGACCAATTATTGATCTTGGTTAAAATCTCATTGTGTGGGTACTTGGTTGTATGGTTGATAATTGCTGAAGTGTCAGGAAATACAAGTGGTAGTTTTTATAAGTGCAAGTTTAATAAAAGGAATCATTCTGTTGATTTTTTGTACACAATGTCAGCACATAAAATGAACGTGTTGTCGCTTTGTTGAAACTAATATGGTTTATGTATGTATTTCTCTTTGTTTGTGTTTGTAACATTTTCTTTTTTGAGGGTGATTTGGTTGTGTCAATGAATAAAGAGATGGTTGGGGAGGAAGCTTGCAATTCTAAAATATTACACTATCTTTTATTTGTCTTTTCTAGCGAGGTCTAGTAACTTCGTAATCGGGCAAGGTGATGGATGTTGCTGCTTGTTGAGTTTTTCATCTCCTGTCAAGTTTGCGCCTGAAAGAAGAGGTGATGGAGGGACACACTGAGGGCCCATGCACCTTCACATTCAGTCGTACCTTTGGACTGTGTTAAATATTTCAATATTGGAACAGTTGATTAATAGTAATTGTTCAAATACAGTAAGTTGCTCTGGAGTGGCTGGTATCTTTCCGTAAGTGTAACAGGTAAAGGCTCTTTAAGTGATGGAAATTCAACCTCTGCCGCATCTTGTACTTTTCATCTTGAAACTTCCACGTTCGAGAAGTGGGGGACTGTTATAATAATTATATACAGTACATGTATTGTGCATTATTTAGTTATTACTGTTGATTCTTGGTTGACCTGTTCAAATGTTCAATTGAATCATTTAGATTAATTTTGTATGAATGATGCTGTTTGTTTTATTATTTTCTATTTGATAGTTTCTAATGCTCTTGCCCAAGTCTGCCGCATAACCTCTTGCAATATTTCACAAGAAAATTCATAGATATGATAGAATAGTGCTGCAGGTAAATTTGGAAAACTAATATGAATTGTATGCAAATGAAAAAAAAAAAGTGAATTTAGACGTTTAAAAATTGTACCGTATGCTTGTTAATTCGTGTTATATTTCCGATGTAATTGCACTGGGCAGTGCTGCATTTCTTTGAAAAAAGAATCAAATTCATTATCATGTATCTTTTTAGAGACTAGTACCCTCGTTTAGGCTATAATGCTGTTGGAACAAGTCAATCTAATTCTGAATTTTACTATGTATGGATTAATTACTACTTTGTTGAAACCTAAAAGGTGTTGTATAAGCTGATAAGGTTGGAAGTTAATTAATAAATACACACATTTTTTTATGGAAAAAATTAAAGTGATTGATAAAGAATTTCATTTAAATTTAAAGTTATTCAATTTCGACATGGATTTAACAACACTCCTCAGCTTGCAAATTTATTTAACATAGAACGATTGGAAAAATGCCAACATCCACCATTATCAGTACATTCTGGCTTTAAATCTTAACACAAACCTTAAAATATTTTGATTCAAGAATTGCATTTATTTAACTGTGATATTTCTAAGAATAGGATGTCATTTAATGTTGATTATTTATACGTTGATTGAACATCATGTCAGTGCTATTTTAATGTAGAGATGTCGACGTTAAATCAATGTTGAAATGTCTACGTTAACTCAACGTTGTGATCTTAACGTTGTTTCAATGTCGACATTTCCACGTCGCTTCAATTTGCAAATTCAATCATTAATCAACGCTGAATCAACGTAGAATCTCCGACATTAAATCAACGTTGACATATCTACGTTGATTCAACGTCGTGCTCTCCACGTTGGTTTAACGTCAGCATAATGACGTCAGATCAACTTGCAAATTCAATCATTAATCAACGTTGAATCAACGTAGAATGTCCGCCATTAAATCAACGTTTTAATATCTACGTTGATTCAACGTTGTGCTTTCCACGTTGGTTAAACGTCAGCAAAACAACGTCAGATCACCTTGCAAATTCAATCATTAATCAACCTTGAATCAACGTAAAATTTTCAACTTTAAATCAACGTTGAACTGTTGACCTTGATTCAACGTCAGCATTTCAACGTCAGATCAACTTTCAAATTCAATCATTATTCAACGTTAGTTCAACGTCGGAATCTGACGTTGTTTCAACGTTATTTCAACGTATTTTGCCCACTGGGATATTTCAAAGGGTGTCAATTACAAATCAAATCTTACCGATTACATCGAAGGTGAAGTATGCTGATGCCGTGCAACCACCATTATTGGTCACAGTGCAGGTTACATTATGAGAGCCTACTGGAAAGTCTCCGCCTGTGACTGTTACACTGGTTCCCCCTGCATCATCAGTACAAGTTATTGCTTGACCATCTGAGTTGGTTGCGCTCACTTGATCCCATGACACAGGAATTGATGCTTCCCCCGGTGCAATGCACTCGTCACCAACAGTCGGCACGGTCAATACGGGTGTTGCTGTGAAGCAAAATTAAATACAATCGCCACTTATTATTCCTACAACATAATTACATTCCAAATCATCAAATCACTCTATTGATCAAATGATATATTCAGTAATACTTTAGGCACGTCAATTGGAAAAAGATTTCTTTTGAAAGTGAAATTCACTGTGTTCCAAAACATTACAGGATGATGTTATATTAAGTAATTTATTTGATATTAAGGGCTTCTTGTCTAAAATTTTAAGCCCCGTCCAAATAAATATAAAAAAAGTAACAAGTTCAAGTACACTAGACTGCTCCATACGGATGTTAACATTCATGAACATATTTTGTGACTAATTTCAATCAATGTTTCACCAGCCAAATAGAAAAAATTGGAAGATTTGCATGATAAATTGGGCGATGAAACAGGTACATTAAAGTGTAACACCTAGTCTCAAAAGATCCATCTTTTATCAACATGCTGGCCTCTAAACAATGCAAAGAACTTTCGAAAACAAATCGGGTTGACTTCAATTATATTTCAAAGGGTGTCAATTACAAATCAAATCTTACCGATTACATCGAAGGTGAAGTATGCTGATGCTGTGCAACCACCATCATTGGTCACAGTGCAGGTTACATTATGAGAGCCTACTGGAAAGTCTCCTCCTGTGACTGTTACACTGGTTCCCCCTGCATCATCCGTACACATTATTGCTTGACCATCTGAGTTGGTTGCGCTCACTTGATCCCATGACACAGGAATTGATGCTTCCCCCGGTGCAATGCACTCGTCACCAACAGTCGGCACGGTCAATACGGGTGTTGCTGTGAAGCAAAATTAAATACAATCGCCACTTATTATTCCTACAACATAATAACATTCCAAATCATCAAATCACTCTATTGATCAAATGATATATTCAGTAATACTTTAGGCACGTCAATTGGAAAAATATTTCTTTTGAAAGTGAAATTCACTGTGTTCCAAAACATTACAGGATGATGTTATATTAAGTAATTTATTTGATATTAAGGGCTTCTTGTCTAAAATTTTAAGCCCCGTCCAAATAAATATAAAAAAAGTAACAAGTTCAAGTACACTAGACTGCTCCATACGGATGTTAACATTCATGAACATATTTTGTGACTAATTTCAATCAATGTTTCACCAGCCAAATTGAAAAAAATTGGAAGATTTGCATGGTAAATTGGGCGATGAAGCAGGTACATTTAGGTGTAACGCCTAGTCTCAAAAGATCCATCTTTTATCAAAATACTGGCCTCTAAACAATGCAAAGAACTTTTGAAAAAAAATCGGGTTGACTTCAATCATATTTCAAAGGGTGTCAATTACAAATCAAATCTTACCGATTACATCGAAGGTGAAGTATGCTGATGCCGTGCAACCACCATTATTGGTCACAGTGCAGGTTACATTATGAGAGCCTACTGGAAAGTCTCCTCCTGTGACTGTTACACTGGTTCCCCCTGCATCATCAGTACAAGTTATTGCTTGACCATCTGAGTTGGTTGCGCTCACTTGATCCCATGACACTGGAATTGATGCTTCCCCCGGTGCAATGCACTCGTCACCAACAGTCGGCACGGTCAATACGGGTGTTGCTGTGAAGCAAAATTAAATACAATCGCCACTTATTATTCCTACCACATAATTACATTCCAAATCATCAAATCACTCTATTGATCAAATGATATATTCAGTAATACTTTAGGCACGTCAATTGGAAAAAGATTTCTTTTGAAAGTGAAATTCACTGTGTTCCAAAACATTACAGGATGATGTTATATTAAGTAATTTATTTGATATTAAGGGCTTCTTGTCTAAAATTTTAAGCCCCGTCCAAATGAATATAAAAAAGTAACAAGTTCAAGTACACTAGACTGCTCCATACGGATGTTAACATTCATGAACATATTTTGTGACTAATTTCAATCAATGTTTCACCAGCCAAATAGAACCAATTGGAAGATTTGCATGGTAAATTGGGCGATGAAACAGGTACATTAAAGTGTAACACCTAGTCTCAAAAGATCCATCTTTTATCAACATGCTGGCCTCTAAACAATGCAAAGAACTTTCGAAAACAAATCGGGTTGACTTCAATCATATTTCAAAGGGTGTCAATTACAAATCAAATCTTACCGATTACATCGAAGGTGAAGTATGCTGATGCTGTGCAGCCACCATCATTGGTCACAGTGCAGGTTACATTATGAGAGCCTACTGGAAAGTCTCCTCCTGTGACTGTTACACTGGTTCCCCCTGCATCATCCGTACACGTTATTGCTTGACCATCTGAGTTGGTTGCGCTCACTTGATCCCATGACACTGGAATTGATGCTTCCCCCGGTGCAATGCACTCGTCACCAACAGTCGGCACGGTCAATACGGGTGTTGCTGTGAAGCAAAATTAAATACAATCGCCACTTATTATTCCTACAACATAATTACATTCCAAATCATCAAATCACTCTATTGATCAAATGATATATTCAGTAATACTTTAGGCACGTCAATTGGAAAA